CTGCCGCATATTTTTAGCGTAACGCCGACGACGATGACGACGACGGTGACGACGAGGGCGACGACGACGGCGTCGGCGGGGATGGCATCCCGTGCGATCGAACGGACGATAACGCCTCTCTCAGGTCACTCGCGCGCGGTTCCCTTTAATTGACAGATCCGAGACGGGTGGACGGACGTCGAGAGCGACGGATCGTGACACGGTTGAGCGCGCAGCACCGACTGAGGTTAGTGTCGTGGCAAGGACAACACGATGCTCTCATCCACGGAGGACAATGCTCTCCTCTCTCACTTCCTTTCCTCTTCTTCTTCCTCTTCCTCTCTCTCTCTCTCTCCCCCTCTTCGCGCTCTCCACCCCTCGACAACGTCAAGATTTCACTCCGTCCTTGTCTTCTTTCCTCTTGGTGGATACGCCGCGTTATATTCTTCCTCCTCCTCCTTCTCCTCTTGTTTCACAGTGTCGCCTCTCGCACGTACCGGATTACGCGCTGCGACGAAGCTGGCTTGCTGTCAATCGCGCGAGCACACATTTTACGCGGGCGGTCGCGATGTCGTTCTCCTTTGTCGCGACTGACATTCAAGTGGCTCCAAGTTGTCACGGTTATATCCCGCGCATTCACTCTCCCCGTGGCGAGACACACGAAAATTTCACGTTAAAAACGGATACGATGAATGCATTGACAAGACGACCAAAAACGACGACAGTACCAACATCAAGCACAACTTCACAACTGCTCGCGGCGAATCGCACTACGTAAATGTACTACTTGCTCGCGTCCTAATTGCCTCAGCGCTCTCTTGTGAGTTAGACGTGAATTATCGTCGATAAAGTAATCTCCCTGTAATCCGACTTACTATTGGAGCAGTCAAGAGGTGCGCATCTTTGCTAAATTCGAGTGATTGTTGATAAGACAGTCCCTCTGTAATTATTTATATTTTATAATTGCTCAATCAATGCCAACTGTATACAATGAAAGAAATAAGAGAAATAAGAATTATTCAACGTATTTCAACCTACAAAAAATCAAATACACCAGAATACAGTTTCTGGTAGGTTGAAATCCTATTATTCGTTGCAAATTAGAACGTTTGAACTTTAAATATGTACCCCTTTAAAACTATTTTTAATATTAATTGTTGTATTATTAATATTAATGTATGTCTTAGATATTTTAAAATGTTCTTTTAATTTTTTTATCACACAATTAAGGATAATTTTTATATATTATTTGCTGTATTTTTGAAAAATTTTTTGATGATAGAATCAAAGCTATATCTCTTGTTAAATATATTTCAACTGCACACTGTAATATTATTATAAATTTTTGTTAACATATGAGTTGACATCTAATGTATTAGCGAATTCGATTGAATTACATATTGATGTTTATTAAAGCTGTGTTTCACACAACACAGACTGAAGGGTGTCCTACATGATCCTAACGTTTTCAAAGCGTATTTTTGATAAAATGGCTTTACGAGATTGTATTGTTTTAATCTGAGTGTAAAAAAATACACAGGTAAATAAAATATTTTATCTAATAGCACAATAATAAAGTGTATTGAGGATTTTGCGCTTTAACTCGTTTCTATATTTTTGTATTAACTTTCTATCTGCAATTTGGATCTATTTTGTCCAGCCCAAGTTTTTTGCTGTTCTAGACTTTCAAAAAATATAAAAAAGTTCAAGATTATTTTTCTATTACATATTAATAAATAGTTTTTAACTTAAATATAATAAAAATTGAAATTTGAGCAAAAATGAAGAAGAAATTTGCGAGTGAAATTTCGCTTGTGTCAAAAAAGACCCTGGTTGCAGATGGAATTAAACACATCTTTACATTAATTTATATAATACGATGTCATTAATTAATATACACCAGGGAGCATTGAGTGCGTTCAATTGAATTCGCTATACTTATATATTTGTTTTGTTTGGATATTTTATACACTTACATCTACGTTGATTTCTTTTCAACTAATTAACAATGATATTTGTTAAAGATATAAATAACGAAATATATATAATAAATGTTTTTGTAAACATTTCTGTTCATGCAATAAATATGCACTTTCGTTTAAATGCACTTTGCTTGTCATTTACTATATTACCTGTTTGAAATCCTACATGCCTTTACATACAATTCTATCTGTAATAAGGAAATGACTTTCATTTATACGGGCCAATGACATCGGTTTGCTCATCGGAAAACGATGAGATCGATTTACGTAAAATGATTGAATTGATCGGATCAATTGCTCTCATTGTTGCACATGCCATTCGGATTCCAAATCGCATTATGTAGATTGCAATACGAAAGAGCAATTGTATCACACGTAATTTAAAATCACTAAGCACTTAAAGGTTTTAAATTGGTGAAATGTGAAATAAAAGTTAAATAAGACAAAATAATTGAATAAAAAAGTTAAAATTCTAAAAGCTAAAAGAATAATTAAATAAAAAATCGACTCGAAAGGATCGATAAAGGTAATTTTGGGAGAGAAGAAAAAACAAAATAGAAATTAATGTTGTTCAAATTTAGTTTAATTTAAATAATATATAAATATATAAGAAACTTTAATCTGTATCTCTCATTTAGGAACATCTTGCGTAATTTATACTAGAGAATTTCATTGTATCTCTATTCCGAAACAATTGCTCCGTAGTTTTAAAGATACCATAAGCTCATAAACATCGGTAATGTTTATTTTACAGTTACTTCGCAAGTCATTGAGAAATGCGTTATTTACGTAAGACCGTCATACCCGCAGTTTGACGCATCTACTTCAAATAGACAAATCGACATGATTTCACTTACGTTTAGTAATAAAAATATTAGCATAATGTATGATAAGAACGAAAGTAAAACAAATACTTTCCGTTGAAAGTGAGATCGAAGACATTTATTTTGAAATGAATACATAATTCAGATTAGCCTCCAATACGTATAAATATTGTTTATAATTGCACTTTTTATTTAAAATCTACTTGCTTGTGAACAATTTTCTATAAAAATGGATTTTAAATAATTTTAAATAATAATTAAAATAAAAAGTTTAATTCAAACAAATCGTCAATTATTTTCCTTTACAATATAGTTTCTTTTAAATAATTCGTCAATGTCAAAATTAAAATTACCATCTAAAGATCTTGAGACATCCCAGAACATTCGAGTTATTTTGCAATAATCATTAATCTATTTGTTTCCAGAAAAGTATCTCTATCTAACGCACCATTATCGAACAACGAAATTCCGAGAAAGTAGCATGTAATTTCGTTATATCATGGATCGTTATTATATGTTCACGAAAGAATTCTCTCATTTTACGAAGTGCGTTAGATATGCCGTCTTGCTATATCGATATATGTGCCACTGGCTAACGAGCGTAAACGATGCCAGATAGTTACGTAAAATGAAGGACACAAGTTTCGATGTTCGCTATCGATACAGGCTTCCGATGCTTGTTCAATTTTAATGGCTACACCGTGGGAAACTACATTGTACTACTAACACTTGGAACATTTCACTAAACAGCTTTGGATAATCTATTAAATAATTTATTTTGAGATCTGTAACCAAATCTTTTTCTTATTTATCTCAAAATAATCCTTGTCTTCCATTGATTTTGATTTTTTGAAAATTGCTCCAAATATCACCTGGTGAACGATCTACTTTCTTTTAGATCTGCATACTATAATCACGCTAATAATTATCTAGACGCGATTCAATATTATATCTTTAACGTTATTTCAATAGCCAACAGCTCGTCTTTGTTTCACGTGAGCGTCGAGTACTTTTAAGCGATAACGATGCGACGAAGGCCGAATTTGTGTCAACGGTGAGCGAACGTCGCACACTTGGGCGGCGCGGAACATCCCAGATAATCGTTTGCCGACCTCGCCATCGTTCTTTTTTCTTTTTTTTTTTAACGACAATGCCGGTGAATGGATGGTCGCGCGGTGCCGGTATTTACCCAGCCGCATCCGATCGTTCGATCACACAGGCAGGCGGATGAAATGCCCCTCTGCTCTTCCTCGTATCCGCCGTTGTGGCACGATGCATGGCGATTGCTTTTCATTTCGTTACGTGTACGCTTCGCAGTTGCACGGTAAGCCGACACGTACCGGCGTTAATCTCACTCTCCGCTGGCAGAACGAAAGGATGGATGTCCATCGAGAGTGAATCGCGAGCGCGGCTCGATGAGAAGCGCATGAAGCTGAAGTCGCGCAGGAGGTGCTCCGATCTCTAACCCGGCCGACGATGCACGTCTCAGCTAAGTGTGACGATCGCTACTAGAAGAGCTCAATGACGGATCAGCGTTTGCACAAGAGCGTGAGTGAACGCTTCCAAAGTACAAAGTACAAAAGACTTGAACTCGCAATTTTTAAACGAGTTCTAGTCTCGAAGAGATCACGAGTTTCATCCTTGTTTTTGCACAAAGTATAAAAATCTTAGAATATATGAATCTATTTATCTTGTTCCAACATTTTATGTGGTTTATCTCTCGAACACGGTTTTTTTACTTAAAGCAATCTGTGTAAACATTTTTCTTTAAACTTTTTCTACAGAATATAAAAAGTATATCGTCACAAAAATACGGTTTTGTATTTTACAAGATGTTTATCTTTTAAATAAAACGTAACGTAAGATTATAAAACATAAACATGGTTTTAAAAACTTCTTTTTTACTCATGTTTTAAACTTATCAGCTAAATGCGCGATTACGTGTCAATGCAAAAATAGCTTAGCTATTATCTTTCGTTATTCTTCTCATTACCTACTGTTTTAAATATGAGTATTAAATATGAGCCATCATCAATGTTGTCATACATTCGGATCATCGATATTGTCACACATGTATTAATAATGCATTAGTGTGACTCCTTCGATTAATCAACTATGACTTAACACTTGACAATTTTTTAAAATCTTTACGAGCAAAAGGGAATGTTTGCTTCTCAAGAGAATATTTTGGATTGCAATTAAATAAAAAAATTTTTTTACTATGAAATGTAAATACGCACGCTATATCTGTTCGTATTCGATAGAAAAAATGACTTATATAACAAATAGAGATTATAGAAGGATTTATTTTATTAAACACACGAGTTTCAACAGAATTCGTGTTTTACGAAATAAATCCTGCTATAAGCCGCTATCGTGCAGATTACATTGTGTGCTTATGTTGTATTAAAAGATAGCGAAACTAAAAATGCAACGTAAAAACGGCATGCATAACGCGAGGAACTCGTTTATGAGAAACGTTGAAATTATCTTGAAACCTTGAAATTAGGAGGGAGAGGTCCTTAAAGAAACTATTGACGGATGATTGCGTTTGGCCGCTTTTCCACTCGACAAGTCTACGCGACCTAATGTCATGCGTGCCAATTTCAGCTTTTACACGTGATAACGGCGTTACGTAACGACGTTTGCACAGGTACATCAGTGACGCGATTAGAAGCAGGAGATGTCGTTCTGGAGGTAAAACAATCTGGGAAATTCTTGAAAAACAACCTCTTGCAATTTGGTCTTGCCCTGTTGTTTGCAGTGGAAACATACAAGATGACGACATTGCGTTTCGCCGGCACGATTTTCGTCTGCTGCCTTGTTTCGAGTACAGGTGAGCTTCAACGTGCGAGTGATGCACTGTGAAAAATATAGCTGGACATAAATGCATCGTAAAGTATGAAAAAAGGATTCTTTTTCGTCAAAATAATGAATAAAATTAATTAAATTAAGAGAAGAAATTTTAATTATTATACTTAAAAAATGATTTAAAAAAATTTTACTGATGTCTTTTTAGCAAAGATACTTTTCATTTCTGTCACCTTTTATTCACTTTTTAAGTTTGATTAGCAAAACAGTCGTCCACGTCTGTGAATTGCACGTACAATCGTGTTCTTTATCTAGAATCAGCGATAGTGCGTAGTGCATTGTGTAGGAATGACACAAGGCTGTTTACAACTGCAATTCACATTTTATAAAGCACGCACCTATGCCCTTCAGGTTGGTCTCAGAGTTGCCAGGATCAAGATACGGGATGGGAAAAGATCGCCGGAGCAAAGCCAGCAAATGCTGTAGAGACTGTAATTTACAAAAATGGTGTGACGTCTATAAGTAATAACGGTATCATCGCGCCTTGCTTTGATAGGTGATCCATCAAGTATCTCTTTCTTTCGTGTAGATTTCGTAATTACGTTTCAATGAATAAATTGCTTAGTTGTTCCGGGAAATTATAAGTAAATGCAGTCTTTAGATGAATTATGGATATTTTGCATACGTATATAGTTGTTCGTTAATAGATGCATTTAATGAATTATACATCTCTTGCGAAAATGAAAAATAGCGCTTTGATATCGCAACATCTTTTTTAAGAAAAATTAACGTTAAATTTTTGTGAAAAGTACTTATGTGAAGCAAACACAGTATTTACGTAGTTCTATTACGCACAAAAGTATGTAAATTTATCGTTTAAAAATTCGTCTATCACAGGTGTAAAAGTTTGAATTGCACAGCTTTCGTAGTCGACTTCGCGAGGAACATCTGCTACAGTGTGCAAGTAAAAAGTGAGGAACTCATTCCTGAAACGAATGCTACGCTTTTCAATAAGATTTGTGTTACAGGTAATAATAAAAACTATTTTTTGTTATGTATACAAAGTATTATTAAAATACAATTTATTTTTTGTTAGCTAAAATTTTTCTAATTTCTGTATTAGAATTTAAAGAGCTACATATGAATTTGCAATTGTTTTATAGAAGAAAATCTAAAGCATTGAAATAAAGTTTTATGATTTCTTATTTCTAGAAAAGAAAAACTAGAAATAATATTTCTGGAAATGCATTTTTTAATCTCTCTGCGTTTTCAGTCCCGCTGAGCTGCAAACAACAGCGATTATGGCAAGTAGAAAGAACCTTGGGAGCTGTTTTAAAAGAGGGACAGTCTGGCTGGTTCCATCAAGCATTACGGAGAAGCGAGTGTTACGAGAAGTGTCTACAAGCAGGTATGTCAAGTAATCGTGTGGATTGTGTCGAGTCCTAGTTATCAAATGAATTGAAATTTTCATGAAATTATAAGCTGTGCACGGTCAATTTGAATAATAAAGTGACCTTAGGGAACGAATGTGTATCTGCGCAATTTCGTACGGGCGAGCCTTTGTCAATCAATGATACCATTGGCACGTGTTCGTTGTCAAGGCTCGAAAGGGGTACCAGACCGCAAGCCTACAGATCGTCGATGTATCGGGACGAGTATCTGCAGGATCAGTGCCATAACATAAGTAAGTCGATAAGCCAATCTCTGTCTTTCTGTAAATCGTAAGATCGAGTTGCATTCGAATTAAATTTAATTTTTATGTATTCTCTCTAATATAGCGACGAAGAGCTATTGTTCCTACGCAGAATTTCGAAACGTATCATTGCCATACTCGGACGTGGCGTTACCAGGACTGGACGTAAAACAAGTATACCTTGTATTTTCTATTGTTTTTGTTGGCTGATTCATTTGTTACTAGATTACAATTTTTTAGTGCGAAGAGAGATGTGATCGTAGCGTGGATGGTTTCATGTGTAGAGCTTATACTGTCGATTATTCGGAGAAGAAACCGCTTTGTCTCCTACATTCCGACAGTACAATCGGTCTTGGAGTCAGTTCATTGATTCCCAGACCTAACGTGATCTACAGGGAGCAAGAACCTTGTATAGATCGTACGTTTACAATGTGGATAGTTTTACAAATTTCAGCCATAAAATTTCAAAAATCAAATAGTAATCGATTTATAGTTTAAAAAAGCGAAAAGATGGAATATATGAAATTCATAAAAATTATAATTAAACATAAGATCTTGTTCAATGACTTGAAATATTAATTTATTTTACATTATATACATGCTAGTTGCTGTTTTATTTATTAAAATCTATAAATTTTATTGTTCATTTATTTTCCATACTGGCACTGTCTTGTTTTGCAGTGAAAGTGGAATGTGGCGAATCAACAATGACAATAATACTGACTACTGCGGAGCCCTTCATAGGACGGGTGTACGCGAATGGATATGGAGATGTTACGACTTGCAGCGTTAATGGTATTGGGAAAAATGTAACGATATTAAAATTGCCGCTGCCAAAGAAAGAGGAAATTGACAAGCCTGACCTCGTATGCGGTCTTACACCCGCGTTTTCCATCAGCAACGAAAATCGGTACTTGCTCTCGAAATCATCTAATTGAATCAATTCAAGGAAAAACTATTTTATTGAAGTATCTAAAAATTTAAGTAGATACAAATCTGAAAATGCTTTTGTTGACTATCAAAGTAGTTATGTAAGAAACTAAAGTATGTACTTAAGTTGCAAAAAGTTCTTTTTTTATCAACCAGCTTAAACGTCTTACATAAAAAAATGATTTTGAGTTTAATTGAACTATTTTTAGATCTGTATCTATTGCTACATTTTTAAATATTTCAGTAAAACTGTTCTTTCCTTATTTGTATCACTATCAAGTGCGATAAAAAAAATGAAAATGATTATACTATAATATTATAATATATTAATCGAATTAAAGGCTAACTTTACTAAGCTACCGAATCTTGTTTTTTCAGGACGCACACGTTGATTTGGGGTATCATTGTGATACAGTATAATCCAATCATTCAGCGATTGGGAGATCAGTCAGTGAGAGTCGGATGCACCTTAGATGAGAGTGGTCTTCCGGAACCGAGAAACGTGACCGTTCATTCGAATTTCTCTTTCGAGGACCCAAAGTAAGTTTAGTTTTTTTAATTCTTACAGGATAGCGTTCACAATTGTTTCAAATGACATATTCACTTAAATTGCCATCTGATGCAAAACCATCCCGATACTGTGACAAGTGTCCCCGATATTCCGGCTCTGGTTATTCTTTTGTAGCGCAGGCGTACCGCCGGTTGGCTCAATTGTAGTGAACGTTTCGTCCGAGGTGCCAGTGGTGACGATGAGGATTCTCAACGAAAGCAATATGGACGCTGTCGTTACCCAATTGGGAGAGAAGTTAACTCTCAGAATTGAAATTCATCCCGTAAACGGTATCTTTGTTCTCTTACTAAATTTTCAATTCAAATTTCCTTTAATAAGAGTATTGTAGCATTAATAATTTTTTAATTAAGAAATATTTAAAATTAACTTTTCGTAAATTTAGTTTCAGTTGCATTAAATATATTTTATTTTGAAAAAAATTATATTATAATTCTTTGGTTTGACAGGAACTTATGACATCGCAGCTGGACACCTCGTAGCTAGTAGCGCATCCGGAGAATCCTCGTATCTTCTTCTTGACGAAATTGGATGTCCAACAGATCCGGCGACCTTTCCCGCGCTATTGAAGGATCCAATCGATAATCGATCTTTGATCTCAACATTTACTGCCTTCAAATTTCCTGACAGTCAAATCGTTCGATTTAACGTCATTGTTAGATTTTGTATCGAACAATGTGAGCCGGTAAACAAACTACATATTCTTTTTAACATCATTTCAAGTTCTTTAAGTCATGATTGTATTTTAGGATATAATATTAAAATATAATAATAAAATTCTTTTTACATAAAAGAATATTAATAACATTTCTTTAATAAATAAAAATAATTTAGTATCTTTGTACAAATTAGTTAGGTTAATTAAAGAGTGAGAAAATTTGAAATTTATGATTTCTTTGAAGGCCATATGCAGAGGAGGACAACCATCGTATGGCAGGAAGCGGCGGTCGATCGGGGAGCCAGTCACTGCCGAGGTAACTGAAATTTTCAGAAACCTCACTCCCGTGGAATTACCATTAGAACTATCTATCGTCGTTCAAAGTCCAGTGATAACGGCAGACCATTTATCCAGGGAAAATCCTGATACGCTTTTGATCACCGGCGGAAGTGAGTTTAATATCGATATCGCTACGTCCTGCAAGCGTCGGAAACTTCGATTCTAGAAATTTGATTTTTGCACTTTTAAAGTCTAGATAATAAAGTTATACGACAGAGCTAACGGAGCTACACAAGTTTTGTTTTTTTTTTTCCAGAATCTGACAGCCTCTTTTGCGTGGACGCGAGTTTAGCTCTGGGTCTTTTGATCTTTTGGTTAATAATTCAAATTGCACTCACCGCTGGTTGCATTATAGCCGTTCGTCGCTACAGAAAAATGGCTGTAGAAGCCGAAGAAGACAGAGCTCAGATATTGGCGAGACATCTTTACGGGATTCACGGAGGAAACTTTGAAATCGCACGAAGGGTTAGATGGGCCGATCGAAACGATTCCTCAATCGGATAGATTCATTTTCTGCATTTTTCAAACGCAAGGGCAATTTAAATATTATTAATATAAAAAGTTTTAAATAAAGTTAAAACAATAAAAAATATTATTACACTTATAATAAAATTTTTTTATCGTAAAATTTTAAAGTAATCACTAGTCATATTTTCTATTTTAGGACTTTAATTACATACTTTATTATTTGTGATGTGGATTTATTTATTTTATTAAGAATAAGAAATGGTTTTCTCAATTTGATTTTTTAAGAAATTTTATTTTTTAAAAGTCATTAATTTTATTTAAAACAAAAATTAAATTTTATAAAAGGAATAAACCATTCCCACCAATTTAATATATATACTTTTTGTATTAACAATTTAAATATCTAATAAAAGCCCATTATAATTTGTTTGATGTTGATAATGTTAATTTTAAAATCATTTAATGTAAAAAGATTATATAAAAATAAAGTCAATAAGCTCTTATTTTTGCTTATGAAACAATTAAATATGTTTGTTACATATTATACAGTACACACGTTACGGTGTGTACATACGTAAGTGATTCATATATGAACGAGACTTTTTTTTGTGTTGAATACAAATCAATGTTAGTAGATGTATTTACACTGATTGTGAATGACAAGTAAGGGCGTCTACTCATGCTCGATATAGTTGTGGCCTCATGGAAATTGTTTCTGTAGTTATTGTCGCGATGTCCGAACACTTCGAACAAATGAGCAAATACTTCTACCTGTCACTCAATATAAAAACATCTACCAACACCCATTATCAGTATAAAAACACCTATCGATTTGTATTCATACAAAAAAAGTTTCGTTCATATTCGAATCATCCTCGTATGTTTATTTTTCTTAAGTTTGCCAATTTTACATTAAAACATTTATTATCATAAACTGTATTATAATGAAAATTGTAAGTTATCCAGTTTCGTCTGTTGTACACTTTCCATGATCTTTCGGTTTTACGTCTGTAAATATAAAATATTGTATGTTGAATATATATTTTACTGCGTTCGCAATCGCACTGCCTTGTACTGTAATTATATGTAAGAAGTTTTTATTATTTTATATATTTTATAGGACAAAGATTGTTAAATGTATAAATATGTCCGGTAAATATATTTGCTGTTGCAAAATCTGTTAATGCTAGAACAACCGAGGACATTTAGAAGAATGATTTTCTTTTTATGTTATGTGTATATGATGTATATATATAAAAAAAAAAAAAACTCTTACGTAATTTTATCTTTTTTCCTCATAATTTACATATTAATATCAATTTTCGTCTTATAATTAATATAACTTAAAAGATTTAAGCAATAATAATAATAATAAAGGCAGTTAAAAAAATTGATAGAAACTACGTGACTTATTGAAAAATATTAAAACAACTAACTTGATCGTTCTAGCGTTAAAATGAAAAATTTGTCTCCGAGACATTGTCATTCTGATAGAAAGCTTGTTTTACATTGTTACCACGCATATATCTTTCATATAGTAAAATAAATACAATTGTTAAATAAAATAATGTCTCTATTTCACCTATTCCACATCGTTGCTCGCAATGCAATTTTCTTAGATTGCTATAAGTAATGTATCACAAATGAGATCGAATTCCAATGTCGTCTGTGACAATTAAAAATGCCATTATAAGTTCAATATTAAATTTATTTTTCAGAAGTAAATGAAAAGTATATTCAACAAGTAAACAACAAGTAAACAATATGGTGACGAGTTACTTTTCAAAAGCAACTCTCTCAACTCTTTAGCGTTTAATTAGTTATTTTTAGTGTCATAAAAAATTGCAACGTCATTACCAAATCGTTATTATAAAAAATAACGACAAAAGTAGCAGCCTTACTTACTTCCCATCCTATTTGTTTCATCCAAATTCTTTTCATTTATAATTGCATCTGTGTAATATCGTACAGCAAGCTTTCGTCAATCAACGATTCCATCCATCGACAGGCATTCGTTGTCGTGGAGAACTGCAAGACCGCAAGTTTACAGATCATCGACGTATCGAGATGAGTATTTACAGGATCAATGTCATAACATAACTAAGTAAATTAATCGATCTGCCTTTCTGCAAATTGCTAGATCTAGCTGCATTTGAATTGAATTTAACTGGTACGTGCTGGTATAATGAAGATCGGTTTCGCGGAATTTCGAAACGTATAATATTATTGGCAATACTCGGGCATGCCGTAACGAGACCAGGGTACCTATCATGGAACATGTACCAGGGTACCTATCATGGAACATTTAAGTATATATGTCTCATATAAAGTATGTAAAATTATCTGCATTATAAACGTTTACTTATACTTCTCGCACAAAAAAAACACTGATCGAGTGAATCGAGTTACTCAGAAGAACAGCCGAAAATATAAAGAATATTTAATACCTGCTTTATGTTCAGAGCATCTATCATGGAACAAAGGCGGAATGAATTCTAGGGAAAACGGAATAATTCCGATCGGAATTCATTCTGATTTTGTTCCATGATAGATGCTCTGAACATAAAGCAGGTATTAAATATTCTTTATATTTTCGGCTGTTCTTCTGAGTAACTCGATTCACTCGATCAGTGTTTTTTTTGTGCGAGAAGAGATGTGACAGAGCAACGTTTCATATATCGTCTGCGTATATCAATTATTTAAACTCTAATCGCTCTGCCTACTGCATTCCGATAGGACAATCAGTCTTGGAATAGTTGGAATTACTTCGCTATAATTACCAGACCTGATCTATAAGGAGCAAGAGCTTTGTCTAGACAGTATAAGTATACATTTATAATGCAGATAATTTTACATATTTTCTATGAGACATATATACTTAAATACATATATATCTGCATATTAACAATAATAAAATTTAAATACCATAAAGCACATTTACATAATTTGTTTGATATTTATAATGTTAATTCTAAAACCATTCAAAGTAAAAAGATCAAAGAAAAAGTCAATAAACAGTTATTTTCTATTATAAAGCAAATAAGTATATTTAATACATATAATATTATACATACATTATGGTGTGTAAACATGTTTATTTTTCTTACATTTGCCAATTTTGATTAAAACATTTATTATGATAAATTGTATTACAATGAAAACCATAAGTTATTCAGTTGCACATTGTATACAGCTTCCAGAACATTTTACTGTTACATCTGTAAACAAAAAGTATTGTATGTTGAATATTTTAATCACATCGTTTACAATCGTATTGTCTTATGTCCTGATTATATATAGGATTTTTTGTCATTTTATATATTTTTTAGTGCAAATATTATTAAATATGATTGGTAAATTAATTTGCTATTGTATTATTCATTAATGCTGGAATCGAGACTATTTAGAAGAACGATTTTCCATCCATCTTGTATGTAAAAAAGAAAATTTTTTTTGTAATTTTAGTTTGCAATTTTAATTTGCATATTAGTAACTATCAATTTAATTACTTCAAAAATATAATTAATGTAACTTCAAAGATTTGAACAACAACAATAATAATAACAATAAAGATGGATTAAAAGAATTGACAAAAAGAATCTCTTTGTCTTATTGGAAAACATTAAAACAATCAGTTTGACTGTTCTAGTGATAAATCAAAAAATGTCTTTAAGATCATTGTTACACTAATAGAAAGCTTGTTTATGTTACTATCATGTATGTGTTTTTCATATAAAAAATAAATAACTATTAAATATAATGAAGTTTTAATGAAGTATCTTACTTTTTCCACAACATTGCGCGCATTGTAGATGTGATCGATTTATATAAGTAATTTCGTCTGTACCACAAACAGGATCGTAAATTAATATTATCTGTCAAAAAAATGCCGTTATAGGTTTAACATTAAACTTATTTTTCAGAAAAAGATGTAAAAGATTTTTAATTATAATAATAAAAAATTATAGTTATACATTGCATTCCTGAGCTGAGAGGGATAAATCGTCACTTTGCTTAGATTGTCTGTAAGCCATTGGACTGTTACCATCCACCTGAACTATTTCTGCTGCGTTATCCAAATTCTATAATGTTTATCGAATTAAACTTCCAAATATTAAATTCCCGATTTTTTTTTAAATATAACGGAAATATTACTTTCAAAAATACAAAATTGTACGAAGCATTTTACACGATATTGATTTCAGAATATTAAAATAAATATTAAAATATGAATAGAGTATGTGCAAACTTTTCATTATAATATTTTCATTCATATGGAACAAATAATATAAGAATATCATTGTTATATAGAAAATATTAATTATTAAGAACTCAAACGATCCACGAACATTATGATATATCTGCATCATAGCTTATTGCACTTATTGTTAGCATAGAACATGATTATATTTTTTGACATTATAACATATTCAAATGTCTTGAATCGTTTAAATATTTATTCATTTGTCTCCTACAACAGATCGCACGAAAAAATATTTACTTACTTGTTGAATCGCGTGATAAGAAACGGCGATGCAGCAACTGTAAGAATTATACAATACAGTGGAGATATTAGAATCAATTAATTGATGCATAAACAATTCGCAACATGCATGAAATATTTGAAATAATTTTCTTACTCAGCAACAAATAAAATAACATTTTGTTAAAATTTGCCTGATCAAAGATCACCAGTTATCGATGTTATATGTTATTTTATGTGATCTAACTTAAGGTAATCTACTAACAGAAATTTGTCGAGCTACTGTTGGCAGTATCATGTTGCGCTTCCTTTTATGGAACTAGTTGTTAATTGGTGGCTATATCGTAATGTAAGCGTATGATAAAAAAATTGCTCAATACACTTATTGCATGCTAATTTTCAAACTTTGTGTAACAATGGAAGACTTTGAAGTACTAAAAGGAATTATATGTGTATAGAAAACAGCAATATTAAAAAATTTTTTTAATATTTATGCGATGTTGATAACTGGCGGCTTTTTAACCAAAATGTTATTTTATTGCTGAATAAAAAGATTATTTCAAATACTCGCGTTTCGTGTATCAGAAACGTTATGCTTATGTATCAATTAATTAATTCTATAATATCTCCATTGTGTTGTTTATTATTTAATTCTTGCAGTTGCAGCATCGTCTTTTCTTATCACTGCAATTCAAATTTCTTACAAATTTTTAACAAAATGTTATTGAACTAGTAATATCAAAATCTTGAAAGTACAAAAGTTTATCATTACGTTAATAAATAGACGTTGTATATAAGTCTGTAATATTTAACATGCCGGTTTTATCATTGTATAAATAAAAAATAATAATAAAGCAAAGAGATAAAATAAAATAATGTCACACAATTTTATCAGCGTTAAAAATATCGCAATTATCTTCACCTACATGTCATATTTATTAATCACATGGAAACGATACTATGTATCTGTGCAATATTGTACGGCCTTGTGTCAATCAACGATACCATTGACAGGTAGTCTGTTGAGGCAGCAGTTGTTGAGACTCGAAAGGGGAATAAGACCACAAGTTTACAGAACATCGACGTATCGGGATGGGTATTTACAGGATCAGTGTCATAACATATGTAAGTGTATAAATGGATCTGCCTTTCTGCAAATTGCAAGATCTAGCCGCATTCAAATTGAATTTAACTTGTACATACTAATATAGCGAAGGCTATTGTTCCTATGCAGAACTTCGGTACGTATTATTACTTGGACGTGACATTATCAAGACTGCGGATGTATGTAAAACAAATATTTCTGCTGTTCCTGTGAGCGAGCTGATTCACTTTGTTAATAGATTGTTTTCTTTTTAATGCGAGGGAATGTGACGCAGCTTGGATGATTTTACATGCAGAGTCTATTGATTATTGAGATTATTCGAATGAGGTTCTGTCTACTGCATTTCGACAACACAATCGATCTTAGAGTCAATTCGATAGTTACAAAAAAAAACGAAAATTTAAGGAGTCAAAGTTTTGTTTATATTATATGTTTATAGTTTATAATGCAGATAGTTGTATAAACGTTGACTACAAAATTGTAAGACGAAGTATAATTGACTCTTGATTCAAATAATAAGCGGAAAGATAAGTTATATAAAATTCACAAAAATTATTATTAGACATAAAGTTCCGCGCGATGATCGAAAATATTCACTTATTTTACATTATATACATATTGATCGCTATTTAATTATTAAAGTCTTTGAATCTTATTGTCGTACATTTTATTGTCTTGTTTCACAGTAAAAATGGAGAGCAAAAATTCCGCAGCAGTCAATACGTCAACTATGACATACTGACTGCTGCGGAATTTTTAGTAGAATGAACGTACATACATAAGTCATCAAGAAGACATTGAGATCTACAGCGTTAATGGAAAAATTGAGAAAATTGTATTTTTTTGAAGAAGAAAATGACAATATTAAAATTAATAATGAACACAATAAATATAATAATGAACACAACAATAGGATTCCCGAAATTCAATAATAACAAATTAATGAAGGATATTACAATTGCCAAAGGAATAACAATTCAATAGGCCTAACATTGCGACATGAAAATTGCCATACTAAAATGTATATATTACACAATGTATAAATATTTTTCTTTATACGTTTATAAATATTTTATCAAAATATTTATTACCGTGAATTGTATTGTATAATGTAAATCGTTTGTTATCCAGTTCGGCTTGTTGAACAGCGTCCATAATAATTTAATGTCACGTCTGTAAATATAAATTATTATGTGTTAAGCATTGTAATGCGTTCGTAATTACACTATACTTTATACTGTAATTATGCATAGAAGTTTTTATTATTTTATATATTTTATAGGACAAAGATTATTAAACGTATAAATATATATGTGCTAAATACCTACTTTTGCTATTGCAAAATTTATTAATGCTAGAACAATCGAGAATATTGAAAAGAATTGTCTTCCTTCTATCTTATTAATATAAAAAGAAAAAACTTCCCCATCTAGATTTAAATAAGGAAGTCTTTTCTTTTTTCCTTAATGTATGTACAAAAAAATATATAAATATAAATATAATATGGTAGTGTACATTAATATATTCAATTTACAATATAACTTCAAGGATGTAAGCACTAAGCAATAATAATAATAAAGATAAATCAAAAGAACTGATAAAAACAATCTAAGACAAATACCAATTAGTGGACATGACCCAATTATTAGACAAAATGACAAAAATTAAACATTAATTTATTATATGTATGTTTTAAATATTAATTTTATGAAGCATCTCACCTTTCCCACAACGTTGCGCGCAGCCTAATCTTCCTGGATTAACGTAATCAGCGTTGTCCGTACCACAAACAGGATTATATTCGGTCGTCACCTATGATAAGAATGATATTTACAGAGAGAAAGAGAGAGAGAGAAAGATTCAATATTAACAATAAGATTATTTTTCAGCAGTAGATGTAAAATTTATTTAACAAAATTTTCTCTTGAATTAAAAATTGTTTTGAATAAAGTTACGTTGAGAGATTTCAGTGAGAAAAGAATTATAATTACCGGACAGTTCATTACGCATACATTATATATATTGTCAAGTATAATAGAAGAGGTAGTTGTGGACGTTGAAGTAATTCTTTGTTGTCCATTGGATTCGGAAGCCACTGGACCGTCAAAGATGAAACCATCTACTTGAGCCATCTCCACAGATGCGTTATCCAAATTTTGTGATATACACACATACATTTATCAAATTACACTTCAAATATTAGATCCTCGACACTTTTTTTTTAGAAAATACAGAAATATTATTTTCAACAAAATTATATAGATAACTTTACAATATTGGTTTCAGGATATTAAAATAAATACAATATTAAAATATAAACAAGTATGAATGCGATCATCTCTTGTTTTAATCTCTCTGTTCATAGAGCGTAAAATAAAGATATTATTGTTACATAAAGGAAATCCTAATTAAGAATTAATCGACTCACAAACGTCATGATGTGTCTGTGTCATCACTTAATTACTGTGCTTACAATACAAGCAGTGCTTACAGTACAAGACATGATTATACTTCTTGACAACGTATGCAAATGTTTAAAATCATTAAAATATTCTCCCCTACAAAAGAATATTTTGTATATTAAAGAATGTTTACTTACTTGTGGAAACGCGATAATGACAAACGGCGATGCAGCAACTATAAGAATTATTCAACATGATTGAGATATTAGCACTAATTGATCTATAAGAATAACATTTCGCGTCATGTACAAAATGTTTAAAATAGTTTTCTTACTCAATAATAAATAAAACAACATTTTGTTAAAATTAGTTTGATGAGAAATCAGCAATCGACGTTGTGTGATGTCCAAGATGATATTCTGAATATAAATTCGAGGATCTACTGTTTAGCAGCATTAGTTGCGCTTGCTTTTATATAGAACCGGTTGCCAACCAACGGTTCTGTCTACAATGCGCGCAAGTATAAGCGAACAGGAATTCCCCAATATAATGATATGACCTATTCACTAGCTGCATAATAATTTTCAAATTTTTTACGAAAATAAAAGATTAAAAAATAGTGAAAATTAATATCTTTACAATATAAAAGATATTTTAAAATTAAAAAAACATTTGATGTTATTACTCAAATTCTTTTTCTAACAAAAAGTTATGAAAACAGTAATGTTAGAATATTGAATAAGAATTCATTAGTACATTTAATAAAAAGAAAAACCTTTAAGAATTCAGATTGTCTCGTTTCAACAAGTGAGCATTCATTTGTCAGATTTATTCTTATTATGCACAAGAATGTTAATAATATTGTATCGACATAATTATTACCTTTGCAGTCGCGTTTTTGGCAACTATAATAGGATTGTATTGATTATCTCGCAGTGTTTTAAAACTATAAAAAATTAAGAGTTGCAGTTTCTATGATGACATATGTGTGCATACTGTTGTAATTAATAATTAATAATCGTATAGAGTAATATTAAAATATAATAAGTAAGTATTCACATAACAGAGTATTAATTAATTTCTAATTTAATGTAATGTAAATGTTACATTTTAATTTAATACAATTATAGTAGAAATATACTTTAATGTATTGTATATACAATGTAAACTTAATATAAGTATGTCTAAATATTCAGTAAGCCGTAGTTTTTACATAACGTAATAGCAATTACAAATTAAAAATGCATACATTTAAAATGTAATGGAATACATCGAATACATTATTAACACATAAAGTTTGCGAAATGTTGATGGTCAGGAATTAATAGTTTGCGATATCAGAAATTTCCTCTAATAGACGTTGTATATAAGTCTATAACATTCAAAACGTGACAGTTTTATCATTTGTTTATGTGAACAAAAAATAATAATAACGCAAACAGATAAAACGTTTTACGTTAAAAACTAACATTTATCTTTACCTATATGTGATGTTTATCAATCATATAGAAGTGATGGCGGACCATATGATATTCAATTACTACTCAGCTGGATGTAAGGTTCACAAGCCCTGATGACTCTTATCTCAAGTTCTTAAAAAATATTTAGCGTTATTAGATAATTTATTCGTCGAAATAAGAAATTATAAACGATTTAATAATTAAATAGAAGTAATGAAGAGAAGATTTATAAAAATTCATGTTAAGAAGTTTAAATAAATTTAATGTAATAACGAAGAAAAAATAGTAATGTAGGAGTAATGCAGTACTTACGTGGATTACAATTTTTCGCGCAATTAAATCTTCCTATATTCCAGTAGGTTACGTTATCGGTGCCGCATATCGGGTTGTATTCAGCAGTCGCGATACATGGACAATTATTATTATTATTAGTATTAGTATTATTATTGTTATTATTTATTGTCCCTTGCGTGGTGCTGCTTGGTGGTGTGCTGCTGTTCACCTCATCATTATTATCAAATATTATGGAGTCATCGACGACGTTGCCCGACCAGTCTCTTTGCGGGAATGCCAAGGCGACCAACCAAATCATGGTCAATACTTGCACAACTATCGAGTAAAACGACGTATCATGATGTGCATATGCACATTTTAACGCAAATTTGCAGACAAATTTAGAAATCTCGAAAAATATCAAATAAGAGCTTAAGAAATATCTCAGTTTTTTTCTTTAAATATTTGAAGACTTAACAAAACATCGGAAATGCGTTATTCAAATTCAAACGTATCAGATATCCACGAAAAGAGAATAGATTTTTGTTGTCTTATAGATTTGAAAAAAATAATCAAGAGCTATATTTTTTGTTACACTGTACTCACGTGCAAAAATATATTTCATGATTGTATCCGTGCGATATCGAATCCAAGTTCAAAAACGAGTAGAAGTTAAATGAAAACGTTTTAATGATACTCGAAAGAACAACCGAATGACTGTCTTTGGTAAGCTGCTTTTCGATTTATATTAGTTGTCCACTCTTATCTGTTTTCAACTTGTTTCCTTATACAGGAAAAAACCAGTAAGCGACAAGCGATCGGGAATATCCACGTTGCGTATATACTTGTTGCATTAACAGTGATTTCACGCATATAAAGACCAAGTTTATAGACTTGCCCCGTTTTTATCTCATACAAATAGCTATCAAAAAATAAGCTGGAATTTTTGTTTATTCCTTTATCTTCAATCAAAACTAGCTAACTTATATATTTAATCACATAATGCGCACGAAATCATTGCGAATTATTGCATCTTTTTACCATAACTACACAGCACACTAATTAATTACATAGCATTAAACTACATCATTTTGAATAATCAGATCTTTGGTTTGCTGTCACATGATAAATGACGATTTCACTCGATCATTATAATTTTATTTCATCAAAATATTGTAAGAGATAAAATAACAGCGTTTTCGCAGAATAAGTGAAAAATGCATAATCCTCTCTTTATCATTATAAATATGAGTATATCTATATAACATCCAGACAAGAGCTATTAGCCTTGAAAATTATACACGATTATGAACAAATTATCGTTTATCTCTTTCACACATATTCGCAGAGATATTGATTTCCTGCTCGTACTTCCTACATCATCCTCACGCACGAGTGAGTTCTTTAAGAATCTAAAATACGTCAGCTCTCTCGAGCATGACGTACGTTAGAACTGAGGAAAGCTATGAGATTATCATAACTTGTATTTATACAATTTTTAAAAAAATGAAATCAATCACGATGAACCGTAGGTCAATAAGACAGGTCTGTAATATATGCGAAATGAAATTGATATTAGGAGCGTTTGGACGCTATTAGCGCTATTTGTGTCATCTTTATCGGTCTCATTAGATGTAAAACAAAGATAGCTTGACACAAAAAGCTAATAGGCGTCTCCCTGAACACATCCATTGTACTGCATTTTTCATATTCGGAAAAGATTCAAATCGCCTTCTAAAAAATTGTAAAATTATATGCAGTGCGTGTGAAAAACAGATAAATGAATTGCTCGTTATGCCCATATAAAGTCCCAAGGCTATTTAAAACAAAAACCTTGTATCAATTTAATATAAATATATACATTTTGTCGAACGGAATTTCGTTTCTGATAAAAAATTATGCGGAGTTATAGGAATCATCTGCACATTCACATTTCTGACATCATAACAAATAAATATTGACTTGAAGTCGTACTTTTAATGGACAAATTAGAAAGAAATTCTTGAAGAAACGGAAAATTATTCAAAGAATTCATTAGGGATGCACTGGATATCCAGAAAGTATCCGGTATCCAGTATTATCCGGTACTTTTTTACTATCCGACCGGATAACCGGATATCATTAGTATCCGGGAATATATCCGTTTGAAATTTTATATCATTAAATTGCTGATTTGTTATCAGGGCTGAGCATGTATTTGAAATACTTTTATTTAAAACACTATTTGCAGTACAAGCGTATTTTGTACTTTTTATTTTAGCGGATCACATAAAAGTATTACGTATTTTGTATTTAAAATCGAAAGATTGAAAGCTTTCTGCATTTTGTAATTCAAATAATAAGATTGATTGTCAATGTGTTAGTATTTGAAATACAAAATACAAAATACTTTTATATGCTCCCATGAAACACAAAATACAAAATATAATTATCTTACCAATACTGTTTTTCAAATAAAAGTATTTCAAATACATGCCCAGCCCTGTTTGTTATTATATAAATGTTTAGAAATGAGTATGCATATTCATAATGCCATATTAATATCTTATTGTTGCAAAGTTACAATTTTTTCTCTACAGCCCTTTTTCTGCTTTTTTTTTTAGAAAACAGTTTTCCGAAATCCGGTCGGATATTCGGAAAATGTCGGATATCCGACTCGAAAAAATTGCCTTCTCAGATATCCGATATTCGGTATATGGTAATTTTACGATCCGGTGCATCCCTAGAATTCATCATTTTTTAAGTTTTATTTGAGACATTTTGAGATTCTGTAAGATTAGTAGCATCAAAAGATGATACTTTTAAAATTATTTTTGCTTACACGCGTGTTCCAGTAAACGCTAAATATTCCTGAAATATTCGTAAAATTTCCAAAATCCCAAAATAACATTGCAAGAATATTTCAGAATATCCCGAAATATTTTCAGAATGTGAGAACAATATTCAAAATATTTCATTCGTACATCGTTACATACCGTTCTATATATATTATCCGCAAAATTATAATTTTCCAAGAAATTCCAAAACCTGCGGTCCCTGAATTAATTTTTAAACAAAATTGCACTGTCAAAAACACATTTCATATACTTTCATCTTGGAATCTAATTTTAGAAACTCACTTCGCACAAGCGAATTGCTGGGCTCTTTGTATTCTTTCCCTTATAATTCTTTCTCTTATAATTCTTATTTAATATGTGTGGGAACGCACGCAATTTAATTAGCATGCTTCATCGTAGATCGGGTAACATATTAAGACTGGACATAATATAGCTTGCTATGCGCTTGCTAATAGAAAGGGGTTTTACGCGTTTACGCATAATCTTTATTTATAGCAATATCAATCAACCGTATATAGCTTTACCATGTATGGAGTTACGATTCACGGTCATAACGCTCTTGGAAATCATTTATCCTTGTTGTTTATCAGTGGTAAAGAAGAACAAATAATACTCACGAGAATTGTGAGCGTGAATCAGATCGTAGCTTCATACAGCACAAATCATTCCAGCAACATTGCAACGTTTGAGCAATATTACAGCAACATTGCAAACATTGCAACAATGTTGCTGCAAGTTCGTTATATTTATTATTATATAGGATATATCATATCGCATATAGAAGATAGAGACATCCTCTGGACGTTCTTAGGACATCTTTTCCAAGGGATCCTAAGGACATCCAGAGAATGTCTCTATGTCTTATGAATGTCCTAAAGACATTCCCAGGATATCTCTCCGATAAAATATGCTGTATTGCATGATCATGTTTGGAGATAATAAAAAACGATACATGGAAATCAAGTTTGAGGCTCATGCGGACGAGCCGATCGGTGTCAATATGGCGCGGCGCGGCCCGATGCGCGCTGATGCGCGCAACCCGCATCTGAACGTACCTACTGTGGGCGCGACTGTCGCTGTTGACGCTGTTGTCCGTGTTCGATAAGCCGGGCGTGAACGCGCAGGAAACGTCAAGCACACACAGCCGAGATGTCGAGGAACGATGGCAAGAAGGACACCTCGGCGTCCGCGTTCCGTAAGATCGACGTAGACCAATACAGCGACAACAATTTCAAAGAGGAGGACGCGGACGGCGGCGTAGGTGCGCCCACCGGTCCGGACGAGAACGAGATTTTGACACTTCTTAGCCAATATCCTTTTGCGATACTTTAACGTTCCGCAGAGCCTTTACTTTTCAGCAGTTCCATTATGAGATTTTTCTTAACACAATTATCAAGGGTAAGAACGCGGAAGCCCTAATATCGGTATTAAAGTCCGCACCGTTGGAGTGTAAGAATCAGCAAGTGAAGGTAACCTCAAACTGCGAGACGGTGATTCACCTTTTGTCGTAAAGCGACTTTGTGATTTGCTAAATGGAATGGCATCGTGTACTTGAAAATTGCATAAATTAATTGTGGGAAGCAGTCATTATTTTAATGTAAATCGATTTAAATTTTGTGATTAAGAAGTAACTTCACGAGGTCCACAATTAAAGGAGCATGTTATATTTTATTAATGATGAAAATTGCTCTGCAATTTGGGTCTTTTGTTTTTATTTTATGATTTTTATATATAATTCTAAGAAGACTAATTTGCAAATTTGAATATATATGAATAGTTAAAGTTTATGTATGATTCATGAAAAAATATGTAGTTTCAAGCTTAACAGTCCAGCATGCTCCTCTAACGGGTGTGTTTAGTGAACATAATAGTTGAGTGAACGCTTAGTAATTATTGCCTGTGATTGAAGTAGACTTTTTAGATCCATGAATAAATAAATCTAGAAGAATATCCTAATAGCGAGCTGAATGCACCCAATATCATTTCACAATGTTATGTGTATTTTATTAAATATAAATTTCCATATATATATATATATATATATGCAAGTACATTTTTCTATTTGCAGGACAGTGCACGAAACTTAACACAGAAGGTGCTTCTAAGTATAAAGTCGAATCAAATGGACGATTGCTTAGCACAATTAGATCGTGACTTAATAGATGTTCTAATGAAATATATTTACCGAGGTTTTGAAATCCCGACAGAAGGTAGCAGTAGTCACTTGTTACTTTGGCATGAAAAAGTATTTAATATAAGCGGTGTCGGCTGCATTGTCCGTGTATTCTCTGACAGCAAGCGGGCTTGAAGAGTTTTGTACATTTTGCAGTAACATGTTCATTATCATAATTACCATTAATTCTTACTGTTATTCATCGTCATTGTTAATGCGATGAGGATGTAGATAGGCAAGCCATTCACAATTTTCCATATGGGAAATACAACAAATTTGTGTACATTTGTTATCAATAAAGTAATTTTTATTTCTTGTACATTTGGAGCAGTAATTCCTTCCGCCATACTCTTCTACCGTTCTGCCCTTATTTCATTCTAAAGAGTATAAACAGATTGTTTATGAAAATTATTTAAATGAGAATTCAATTTTCTCAAATGTATTTTTCATCCTGAATTTTAAACTGAACACTATTATAATAAATTTCAATGTTACCTCCAGATTTATATAGGTTTTACTCAAATTTTATACTCTTTAGAGTTCTGAGATAAAAGGAAACATAATATATATATATATATACGATATATTATTTTTATATAACAACAATAAGGTCGTGTTCATGTTTTTAAACATTTCTTGTATATACAATACTATTATTGACCATTACAATAAGAATTGACGATTAATATGACGTTGGCACAAAATAAAAGTATAAATATATAATTTGTGGAATATAATATACCCCAACATCTTTATTATTTTATATATATCTATATATATATTTATAACAAAAACTATAGTGCAACCGATTAACGGCAACATAATGACGTTAAATCTTCTATACCGGATATTTAGGTTCTATCATTGCTTGTATAATAGAATATGTGAGATTAGAATGTTATGCTGATTGTAATATTTATGGTTTATCTGACTCTAGTGATATTATCACATACAACACTGCAAATTCATAGTAAAACTGTTTACTCACATTTGTCCTTTACTGTGAGCATAATCATATTTGTTTGATGTATCAGGTACAGTGCACTCACAAATACTGCATTTGCTCTGTAAGAAGTATAAATTTCGTTTAATTAAGATAAAAATGTAATGTAAATAATACCCCTCATTTGCTACAACACAACTAAAAAGAAAACCAAATTTTCCAGAAAATAAATTCCAATTTTCTGAATTATTAAAATTTTGTAATAATAATTTTGAAATATATAATCTTGGCGTAATAACTGATTCAAGGAGTAAAATGTTCTTTCTTTTTGTTCTTTATATTTCCATTCTTTCTCTGCAAGCGATTAAAAAAAATGACAATTTTTAATTATGTCATTATTGTAGCGAACAAGTAATATGTATTTCTAATTTTTGGCTGCGTTATTATTTTTGTTTCGATTGGTTATTTTGATACTTACTGTCCCTCCTTGAAGTATTCCTTTAATGTATTACTGAATCTTTTGCTAAACTTTACAAATTCTCTTTTACGTTGATCTAAGGCTTGTTTACCAGCTGAACCGGGTATAAATGCAGTAACTTCATTCACAGCATCTAAAAGTTTCTTTATTGCACTCGCAATTTCTCTGAAAGAAAGTATAATTGATAGAGCTATGGAATTCCGTATAAAGATTGTACATAGAAATATGCTATACAAACTTGATTGTCTCTAGGAAAGTCTTTCTGTCTGTAATTTCATCAGGAATTCTGCTAAGTATTCTCTTTAAAGAAGTTGATTTACGATTCAATTCTTGGAATGCATCTTCTGGACGTGCTGAGCGATACTCCACAACTACAATCAAAGGCAAAATGCATTTGCTTATTTTAAATCTTATAATAACCAGATGTAGATAGTAAAATGCTATGAGGGACGACATTAATAATACATATAAACACAAAGTAATTTATACATATATATATATATAAAAAAGATATTTTACCATCATAATCAGAAGCAGTGCCTTGTAACCGTAAGACACTCTCGTTCATATCAAGATTCAGCTCAGCTCTGCGTATTATACCCATAATTAAGTCATATGTAATCCCAGGATGCGAACTCTCTGCTTTTGAGAGAGCCGCACGTATAGTCTGTGCCGCCATAACATTTTGCCTTTCCAGCTGTAAAAATTTAACATGTTACTATCTGACAGACATTCTTATACAAGAGGTTCTGTATCTAATGGTGTAAAACCCAAGATATAATACAAAACATAATTCACAAGATACAATTACCCACAATTTTTTTCAAGTACACTCATTCTTCTACTGTTAAAAGATAACTCTCTGCTAATACAAGACGTCGAACAAGACAAAGATTGAAATATTATTTATAGAAAAGACACAAACGTGTCCTGGAAGAAAACACATTCAGGTGATACAACAGACAATCTTGATAAGACCCTCTATCAAAAGGTACAAAGCCCAATGCGAGATACAATTCACTGTGCAATTGCGCACAAATTTTTTCAAGTCGTTTCTCAATTCATTCTTCCACATTTAAAAGATAATCATTTATTAACAATACAAGACGTTAAACGTAGATGAAAACATTTATGGAAAAGACGATTGTCTTGAGGAAGAGCATATTCAACCGATACCTTGGTTAATATTGGCCTTAATATGACGGGAAGAACCAGTGATGTAACCGGGGTCTCATCGCCCATTGTCATCCTTCACCGTGTATGTTGTTGTTCAAGACGCCGAGAATTAAAACAATTTAGTCGTGGATTCGAGACGAGGCGCAAAGTCAAGGCTGTTTCACAAAATGGCGAAAGAATTGTTTACACGAAACTGGCACGATCACGGCTCAACTAGAATGTAACTCTTCCTCTATGACAGCTGTCACAATAGGCGCTAGACACGCGGAAATGAGGTTATCCGGCGCTGCCAACATTACCCGAACGAGTCGAAAGTTGTCGCGGCCTCGCGTCGTCATTGGTCACCACACAAATAGGCTTGCTCATAGTGCAACTTTTTATGCTTTTCATTCTTCCTCATTCTCTTAATTCCTAGTAACGGTGTAACTGTTTCGTTTTAACTTGCTACTTGTAGATTAATCGATGATTAATCCAATCGTGTCTGAATTGCTCGAAGTAAAATTTCTATAATTACATAATTTCTTATTACATACCTGTACCAAAGAGAAACCTGAGAGTTTATCTCGACGTAGGACCGAAATCGCCCGATATGGGCTAGAAATTAAATTTTTTTTAATTAAAGAAAATTAAAGAGAAAGAGAGAGAGAGAGAGAGAGAGAGAGAGAGAGAGAATAGATGATGGCTATTAAAGACTATGAGAAAAAGATCGAACTTATAAATACGCAATCTTGAAAAAAAACATAACAAAGTTATAAATTCATAATACAAAATTAAATGCTTACAGGTTTATCGAAATTTACAATCAATATCCGTCATTTATAATAAATGAATTGAAAAAAAAGTCGCTTACAAATTTCTATCTCAATTGGAAGTTTAGAAAGAGAAAAAAATAAAATATAAATTATAAATTATAGATCATTTAAATACGTTGTGCAAATTTAGAAATATACTTATTTTACTTATAAAGTTCTATAATAAAATTCTTCAAATTGAGATATTAATAGTAATATAACTTCACTAAATTCTGTTTATTAGATACTGAATGTATTATGATAATAATTATTCATTTGCGTATAAATGAAATGGAAAACGACATTAGATGTTTTGTGTACGTACGTCGGAAAATGGATTCAACGAAATTAAACTCCTACAGCACAAAAGTTGCAGTAACAATGCTACATTGCAGGTTGCAGCGATATTGCTGCAAATTCTGTGCTGTATGGGTAATATTGTTATGTAACGTAAACTATAATGCTAATGCTAACAATCTAACATCGTAAAGCGCGTTCCGAGTACGGTACTCACTCCAGAAACGCATGTGTTTAATTTCCGAAAAAGAGTGAAATTTTTGTTGCGAAGCGCTCATTTATATACTCTATCCGAAAGCTAGCGTTCTCCAATGAGCGCTCGAATTCAATGCCCGCAGCGCGCTGATTGGCTGGCGCGCAAGTGGTGGGGATTGACGCTCGCCAAGTCTTATATAAATCGCGCATAAATCGCGCGCTCGCGCTATTGCGAATATGACATTTCTGGTTCGGATCTGGTGCGACCACCTGCGATACATTGTCGCGTTGCACGGAGACTTACAACCGTAATCCTGACTTCGAGTAGCATGATTCTTCCTTCAAAACTGAATAATTTAATTCCTTCAAAAGACAAAGCGAACTTCGATTAGATAAATCATAAGAAAAACAGCTCGGAAGGAATCGTTGGAATTTGCCAACGAGGTATTCAATAATTATTATCTATATTTTACTAAATTATATTAATACTTTTACGCGACATCAATTCTAAGCAGAATCGTAAGATCTGTAATATGTTTTCGTAAAACTTGTATAAGAACTTATGACTAGTATTCTAATTTTATGCGTATATATCGTATAAGACGTACGATTATTCGTAAATATCTACGATTTCTTGTAAATTTTATGGCTAGTAAGAAATATTGTATAAAGGTATAAACACTTAAAAATTCTTACAAATCTTACAAGAATATGTTACGAGCGTTACGATTATTCTGCTTAGAATTTAGGCATAAATATGCGAGAAATATATTTCAAGAATCGATCGCTTCTAATTATTTGCCGAGCATTACGGCTGGCGACAAGGTTTGCAATGCATTGTACGTACAATAGATCGCCCTTTATTGTAACCGTCACCACTGCGTTTCGTAATTCGAATTCGAATACAAACATGCCGTGTAAGATGTTTGTTTGGATGTGGATGTATTTTATTTTTATAATTTTGCACACACGGCTCCGGAAAAGTTTATACGACGAAGTTTGCATCGGTCGTTTCGAATTTTTAGATCGGTGACGACGGGGACATGAGGTATCGCGCTGTCTCGGCCAACTTCATTATGTCAATCGCGCGTACCGCCGCCATGCCGCCGTATAGTGTAATAAGTGTAATTGGAGTTGGCGCGTGTAACGGCTACTGACGCGATCGCGCAAGTTTTGTCGTGTGTTCGTTGAGCTCGCAATGCGGGAATATAAACGAATACGGGATCGTCTGCATCGTTACTGAGCCACCTTTTGAAGGCTAAAATTCTTGGGCTAAAGAAGAGTGCGGGGTTCGATAGACAAAATGTCGCGAGATCGAGAGTCGAAAATTTCCGTGGAAATTGCGACGTGCTTGTTCCATGCGGAAGCGTTTTATCGCTCATCGGCCGTGTGTTTCAGAACGTTCGCGTCATGAGGATTCTGAAAGAGAGGAGAGAGACAGGATGCAGAATCCACGACGAGATCCGGCAGCCGCTATCGAATATCAATTAAGCAGCACGACTGGAAGCCGGAAATCCTGTTTGCAACGACGAACGAGAGAAGGTAGATGCTAAATATTAATAGCCAATATTCTTCATTCCTGTGGAAAAAATTTTGTTGTAAATAAAATGCAGCAATACAGTTGAAAATAAATTTTGCAATATTCAGAAATATAATTTTGGAGCTCTAAATGAAATTGTTTTGGAACAGGATATAATAATCTTGAGTTGTCAATTTTTATTCATAAATATATTCTCAGATATCATGGTAAAAAATCCTCTGGTTAGAGAACAGTAAAAGTTTTTTGCAAAATTAATTAATTAATTAATTAGAATTACACAAGGAATTATTGTTGATATTATTGAAAATTTTTTTTCTAAATATGTTCTCAGATATTAGTAAAAAAATCTAATTAGAAAATTATATAATAAAGGCTTTTGCAAAATATCAGTAAAAAATCTAATTAGAAAATTATATAATAAAGAATTTTACAAAATTATTTAATTAATTATTTAGAATTGCGCAAAGAATTATTGTCAATATCATTGACAAAAACTTGTTTTTCCTACATAATGGTCGACATGAGTAACGTAATTGCCTTTTATGTGAAGAAAGAAATTTTATTGGTAACGTAGGAACGTCCAAATATATAAACAGCGTGTATAAAAGTATAAAAAATAAATATTAACAACGCGCACGCGCGCCGTTATTTCGTGAGTCTTATGAATAACGAGTCGGGGTCGCGATGTACTCTCGACCACGCAATTGGGAATACGCGAGCACAGTCAAGAGTACGATAGTATATAGCTACGATAGTAATAGTAATAATAATTTTGACAGTATCAACAGGGAAAATAGGCGAATCGCTCACTTTGAAAAAGATAACACGCTGCTGAGAACGAGATCGCTTTTACGATCCTAGTTGTATTATCTATTTAGCTGTTCTCTCTCTCTTACGTGAATCACAGTATTTCTTGTTTACAACCTTCCGATGTTATTAGAAATGTGAACTGTGGGAAAGGCGATTTCCGAGGATCGCAGATCGCAAATCGAGATTATATATTATTACGAAATATTACTTCGATTTTTAGTTCGGGATAGTACGTAGCACACTCTCTCCAAAGTGGTCAGGTTCAATCGCAATAATCGTGATAATCGTAACTGTTATACCGCTAATCTGGAGTCACGCTAAGCCATGGCGCATTATAATCAACGTTACATTAAAATGATATACTAATTCGCTATTAATTAATTAAAGCATTTCTAACACATACCTCTCTCACGCATACCTATGATTACTTATATCTACTAATTGCATTCCGCAAAAGTTTTCTACGAAAGACTAAACTCGAAGATCTATAATAGATATATTACATATTTTAGAATTTACCGTTTATTTTCTGAATGAGGCCTCATCCTATTTCCAAAGTGTGATATAAACGGTTCAATCTTTATAGGTATATATTATTGCAGTTTTGTAAATGCGAAATTCTACAATAATCCTTTTCTATTGAGAAATCCTGAGAAAAGTCTATTTTTTCCTCTTTTTTTCCTCTTTATTATAAGCACAATGAAATTATCTTGTCTACAACTAACTCCGGCATCGGATCGAGATTTCGTTATACACTTAATCGTGTTTATCTGGGTATTGGCGTAAACGACACGATCAATTTGACTTGAATTTAAATCTCTTCTAGAGGATTGTATGGCACATTCGATCGGGTTTCGTTTCGCCGAAGATTCGTTATAACGAAATCACGATATTCGCCGACGTTTTGTGTGTTTACGGATTTCGATTTTGCGCCAGAAGTGTATTCTCTGACGATGAGGAGCCACACGGAAGCTCTGTCGTGAATGTGACGTTAATTAACGTGTAATTAATATCCCGCGGTTCGCTGTTCACGCGAGGATTTACGATGTCTGTCCTCCTTCGTCCTTATCGTTTAACTGCACTCGCGTGTAGTTGCTCCGCGGCAAACACTTGCTTGCTCTATTATCTTAAATTATTTTTCTCGGCCTCGTTCGCGGGGAGACGCTTCTCATGGCAGTCGATTTGTAATCTACACTAATCGTCCTTAATTGACAGAGTCGATAGGCGATTGGGGCCAATCGCATGCAACGATATCACGTAAAGTTCTCTTAATTCATATATGCTATTTCGCCAACGACAGACGACGACATCGTCGATTGTGACGAGGAGTAAAATGGAAATTTTTTAAAGTTGGTGTGTGTGTGTGTGTGTGTGTGTGTGTGTGTGTGTGTGTGTGTGTGTGTGTACAGTAGATTCATTAACACTTATTTTTAAATCGCAGTAGTTCTAAAAAATACAATAAAAAAGAAACCTCGATAATATTAAATTTACATTTAAACTAAATCGCGATTATTTCGTCTCGGAATGGCAGTGATTGACTGAATCGTTTTTATTCCAATTATATATAATATACTGAAATGTGTTCTGCCTATCAAACTATACATTCCTTAACATCACACATTCAAAACAATTAACGTTCTCACAAACGCATTGACGATTAACTTTTCGCGTGATTCGATTCGCTATTTTCCGCAGGCCGATTAAATTAATTATTGCTCTACAATTAAACAGTATATTTTGAAGTTCATATTGTTTGTCAGTTCAAGGAATTAACGAATGTATCTTTTCTCGTAAGAAT